ATATTACCTACTGAAGTATCTCCTACCCAGATCTTACCTCCTGAAGTGTCTCCTACTCAGATCTTACCTACTGAAGGTTCTCCTACACAGACCTTACCTACTGAAGGGTCTCCTACACAGATCTTACCTAGACTGTTTGGAGGTCATGTTCTAGACTGTTTGGATGTCATGTTCTAGGCTGATTGGAGGTCATGTTCTTGTAACATTAGACTGTTTGGAGGTCATGTTCTGGTAACATTAGACTGTTTGGAGGTCATGTTCTAGACTGATTGGGGGTCTTTTTCTAGCCTTTTTGGATGTCATGTTCTAGGCTGATTGGAGGTCATGTTCTTGTAACATTAGACTGTTTGGAGGTCATGTTCTAGACTGATTGGGGGTCTTTTTCTAGCCTTTTTGGATGTCATGTTCTAGGCTGATTGGAGGTCATGTTCTAGACTGTTTGGATGTCATGTTCTAGGCTGATTGGAGGTCATGTTCTTGTAACATTAGACTGTTTGGAGGTCATGTTCTGGTAACATCAGACTGTTTGGGGGTCATGTTCTGGTAGCATTAGACTGATTGGATGTCCTGTTTTGGTAACATTAGACTATTTGTAGGTCGTGTTCTGGTAACATTAGATTGATTGGAGGTCATGTTCTTGTAACATTAGACTGTTTGGAGGTCATGTTCTGGTAACATTAGACTGTTTGGAGGTCATGTTCTGGTAACATCAGACTGTTTGGGGGTCATGTTCTGGTAGCATTAGACTGATTGGATGTCCTGTTTTGGTAACATTAGACTATTTGTTACCAAAACAGGACATCCAATCAGTCTAATGCTACCAGAACATGACCCCCAAACAGGTAGGTAAGATCTGTGTAGTAGATACTTCAGTAGGTAATATCTGTGTAGGAGATACTTCAGAAGGTAAGATCTGTGTAGGAAATACTTCAGTAGGTAAGATCTTACCTACTGAAGTGGCTCCTACACAGATCTTACCCACTGAAGTATCTCCTACACAGACCCTCCCTACTGAAGTGTCTCCTACAAAGATCTTACCTACTGAAGTTTCTCCTACACAGACCCTACCTACTGAAGTATCTCCTACACAGCCCCTACCTACTGAAGTGTCTCCTACACACATCTTACCTACTGAAGTATTTCCTACACAGATCTTACCTTCTGAAGTATCTCCTACACAAATCTTACCTACTGAAGTGTCTCCTACACAGATCTTACCTACTGAAGTTTCTCCTACACAGACCTTACCTACTGAAGTGTCTCCTACACATATCTTACTGACCGAAGTGTTTCCTTGGCAAATGTTCGCCATACAGTCACAGCCACATTTGTCTGGAAGTTGCTTTGCATGTTTATCAACCTCGTACTTCTTTCCTTGGATCAACTGGGAAAAGAAATGATGGGCCAATCCAACCATAATTTGTGTCTCCTTACTTCCATTTGTCGGAGCGTCTTTGGCAAGTTTCTTGATCGCCTCTTCATGTTTTCTTTGCTCTGGGAAAAAATATCATACAGAGCAAACTGTGTAAGAGGATCAATGATTCACCGTTAAACCCCGTGTAATTTGTGCAGTTTTTTTGTACAGAAATAAATTTTAAAGTTGGGGGTGCGCAAATTACACAAGTAGCTCGACATTTCAAGTGTTTTTTTTACAGAAAAAAAAATCGTCAATTCTCAATGTCCGCCATCTTGGAAAAAGACGGAAATTCACGTTGCGAACTTAAAAGATTGATGAACATGCACTCAGCAATTTATTCTTGTTAAATGTATCAGATAATAGAATGATGCATAGGTAACATACTACATGTGTTGATATTTGAGTTAACTAGAACACTGACAGGTCAGCAAGGGCCCCGTCTTATGGTTATATACCCCCCTTAACCATCAAGAACTAGAAGCCATCTGCCCATATCGCTGAGGTTGACGTTTGACATTTGGACTTTAAAAACAATCGCAAGGAAGCAAAATATACATTATACATGTGCTATGATGTGACTCTTGTTTTCATCCACCACCATATTTGCTGGGCTAACGGAGATGAAAATATTGGTATAAAACTCATTTATTAGCTTTGATTTGTTTTATTTAAACCTTACATACCTCTCCAACTAAGTGCCAGGGTCATAGTCAGAGATCAAATTTGTCCTTGACCTATGAACCCAAATGACCTTGACCTTTGACCCAGTGACCGTGATCTTTGGTCAGTTGACTTCTTGTATAATTCCGACCAACTTTGCTTCATAATGTCATCACAAAATATTCATCAGTGAAAAGACACAAAATATGACCTTGACCTTTGACCCAGAGACCTTGACTTTTGGTCAGATGACTCCTTGTTTAATTCTGACCAACAATGCTTCATAGTAACATAACAAAATGTTCATCAGTAAAAAGATACAAAATTTGACCTTGACTTCTGACCTGAAGACCTTGACCTTTAGTCAGATGACTCCTTTCTGAATTCCAACTAGCTTTGCTACAATATGTCATAATAAAATGTTCATTAGTGAAAAGATACAAAATTTGACCTTTGACCCAGTGACCTTGACCTTTGGTCAGTTGACTCCTTGCTAAATTCCGACCAACGTTGCGTCATCATGTCACAACAAACAAAAATACAATATTTGACATTGACCTTTGACCTAGCAGGGCTTTATCAGGGAGTTTCGGGAATCGGTACCCTAGGTTCAAATTTGGAAAAAATGATCGACATTACAGCTACTTTGGGAAATTTGGACAAACATCATTATAACAACTAATTACATGACTTTCTTGTCTACATTTATTATTATGGCACAGTCAGCTATAATTTTTTTATACTTTAATTATCGATCGCTCAACAAAGTAATCGGAAGGAATATTTCATTTTGTCAGTGATTGATACTAACTTATTTTATCGGGTGGCCAGCAGGACGACCAGATATTGTTTTCAGGTGGTCCTTCTCAATCATAAGTGGTCCTTCCATATTGACCAAGATTAAGAAATAACAATGAAAGTTTTATATATCTTTTGTCGATGTACATCTCCATAAAAACGAGGAAATATCTCTGAGTTTTTGCAATGAAATCAGATAGATATTAAAAAGAACATCTAATAACAATGAATTTTACAACAACAAAAAATAAAAATGATCATTTATAAACAATAACAAACACAGATTTTTTAAGATTTACAGATGTATTATAAAATAAATCACTAAGTATTTACATTACAAAACTGTTCTACACATAATATAATTTACATAGCATAGCAAACACATACTTAACTAGACAAAACATAGAACAAAATCAAACAAACAAATTGCATTTAGGGCTGTCTTGGCTGCTGCATATATATATTACAAAATTACCAGCATGAAGGAAGATAAATTCAAGATTCCCTACCAGGTGCAAGTCCTAATCCTATGAACAGGAAAAGGCGGTCCTGGTTAAGGGAAATGAGGTAAGTATTAAAGTTTAGAGCTGGTAGACAATGAACAAATGAAGAAATTGAAATTGAATGAGCAGGTTGTGGCCAGGCGAGGTCCTGAGTCCTCTTGGAGAACCAGGCGAAAGTCCTGTACCACAAAGACTGCTATCATACATAGTTTGGTTACATCGCCAGGCGAGTCCTGAGCCCTACTGAAGAACCAGGCGGAAAATGGTCCTGTACGATGTAAACTGTGTATGACATGTATATGAAATGAATGAAACCCCAATGACTTTGGGGCTAATGGACC